TATATAATCAATTTATAAGCATTATTAACTTTTAAGGATTGGAAAACAAAAAACTACAAAATGCATTGTTTTATTTATTAACAGAAAATTATGAAATGATGGTTATAAAAAACATCAATATAAAATTAGAAAATGACATGTAATGGAATTGCATTTTTAAAGTAAAAGATGGTTTTGGATACACCTTTTTCAAAGTGGAGTATCAAAGATCCTTTCACTATTGGGGTATGATTGAGATATAATTCTCATGGATTTGACAAAAGGAAAAAAAAACATGTGGCCAGTCGGAACTGGTCCTAAAACATCTTAGTCTAGGCCCGGTGAAAAACTCTGTCCGAAAAGCCTCGCTACACAAATATTTTAACCATCGATGAATCTCTTCACAAATATATCAATTTCTTTGAAGATGGCTTAGGGGTAGATCTGTCCTTGTTGGTCTTTAAACACATTTGTAATTGTAGGAAAATCCACATCTTAGGCTCTTACATCTTTGCCATCTTTATTCTTCATCCAAACAATCAAAACTTTTACCACTTAAGATCTTGAATTTTTTTATTGGTTGGATTTACTCGATCAATTAAAGGAAGTATATGAAAGTTGTTAGTTGAATCTTTTGACGTAAGACACGAATGGCCCAAATTGCCTTTAATAAAGGTTTCTTTACATAATCCACGTTCCGGAAATGGTTATCTTTTCTAAAAAAAAGAAGATTCGACTTATAATTAATATTGTAAGACCTTACTTCATATCTTTTGACGACATCACGACATTATTATATTTGATGTCCCAAATAAAATGTATGGTGCCCATGTTGGAAATGAGGGTGAATGATTTAACATGATTTGACATGATTTGCCTGGACTTGAGTTCTTATAACCTCGTCACATTTTATATTAGATGTTTAAATTATTTATTCATTTTCATAGGCTCGTGTGTGTGTTATAGTGATGAGAGCACCATGGATCTCTTGTTTTTTCTTTGCCTTCTTTCTTGTTTTCTCATCCAACATTGTGTTTGGTAGTTGGCCAAAACCAGGCTCAGCTGTTACACACCGCTTTATTCCTACTCCTACTGCTAATGGAAACGACACAAACATACCAGATACTCAGCAACCCTTTCCTACTGCAGATCTTTCAACAACTTGGACCAACGATGAATCTTCCATGCCTTCCATCAATTTCACAGACGATGGCTCAAAGATCAGAGTCATACTCGATCAAGACAGATTTGCATGTGGCTTCTTCTGTAATGGAAACTGCACATCTTACCTCTTTGTCGTTGTTATCAAGTTATTTTACACTCCGGATTATATATTTGGCACAAAAGGCAATCCGACAGTCATTTGGTCAGCCAACAGAGACTATCCGGTCAGCCAAGGTGCAACAGTGAATCTCACTGCAGCTGGAGAATTGGTGTTACAGGATGTTGATGGAAGCATAGTTTGGACTACAAATACCACAAAGAAATCTGTTTCTTTCATGAACCTAACTGATAAGGGAAATCTGATGCTGCTTGATGCCAATAACTCCATCAGTTGGCAATCTTTTGATCACCCGACAGACTGTTTGGTAGCTGGGCAAAAGCTATTTCAAGGACAGAAGCTCATACCTAGTGTTTCCTCAACCAATTGGACTGCTCAAAAAGGTTCTTACTATCTTCAACTCACTGATAGAGGTCTGTTTGCTTACGTTGAATCAAAACCACCTCAAGTATACTACCAACACTTGATAAATGGCAAAAACACAATTAATAAAGAAAGCATTTATGTTGAACTCTTAAATGGGAGTGTGTGTTTCTTCAACTCTTCTACTAAGCTTGATGCGATTGATATTCCTCAAGAATTCCCACTTGAATATATAAAACTAATGCCAGATGGGCATTTGAAAGCCTTTGGAGGCGAGAGAGTGGCTGATCTACTAATCGATTATGATTTTGGAGAGTGTTCTTATCCTTTGGTGTGTGGGAGAAATTCAATTTGCTCGGCTAATATACAATGTAGCTGTCCGAAATCAAGCTCTCCCAGTACAGAATATTTTAGGGCTGTGGATGATAGCCAACCAAACAAGGGTTGCTCTCAAGTTACTCCTCTCACATGTAATTCTATCAAAGATCAACATTTCATTGAACTCAAGAACATCAAGTACTTCACGTATACTGGTGACATGGTGAATGTGGATATGGAGACTTGCAAACAAGCATGTATGAAAAACTGCTCATGCAAAGCAGCTATATTTGTGTATCAGAGTTCGAATTCTTCAAGTGGGTATTGTGATTTACCTTCTGATCTTTTTACCATGACGAAATTTGATGTAGATGTAAATAATCAAGTCCATGCTTCAGCTTTTATAAAAGTCCAGAACAGAAGACATAAATCACCAAAGAGATTAAATCAGGTTGAGAAAGTTATTGGTTTCACAGTTGGAAGTTTGTTGTTGCTCCTTGTTGTGGTTGGTTTTACTATGTCCATAGTCCAAAAGCAAAAAATGGATAGTGAAATAGAAGAAGAGCATTTAGATCAAGTGACAGGAATGCCCACTCGGTTTTCGTATAAAGAACTAAAAACTGCCACAGAGAATTTCAGTAAAAAGCTTGGTGAAGGAGGATTTGGATCAGTTTTCAAAGGAACTCTAGAAGATGGATCAAGGATTGCAGTGAAATGTCTTCATAGTGTTGGTCTTATGCAAGTTAAGAAATCATTCTTGGCTGAGGTTGAGTCCATAGGCAGCATTCACCATGTGAATCTTGTTCGACTTAGAGGATTTTGTGCATGGAAATCAGAGAGACTTCTTGTCTATGATTTCATGAGTAACGGATCTTTAGACCAATGGATCTACTATGGAGACCGAAAGCATGTACTCAAGTGGGAATGTCGAAAAAAGATTATTCTTGATATTGCTAAAGGTTTAGCATATCTCCATGAAGAATGTCGGCAAAAAATCATCCATCTCGATATTAAACCTCAGAACATACTCTTGGACAAAGATTTCAATGCCAAAATATCTGATTTTGGGTTGTCTAAGCTCATTGATAGAAATCAAAGCCAAGTGATAACTACAATGAGAGGAACCCCTGGTTATCTTGCTCCAGAATGGTTGAGCTCCATTATCACCGAAAAGGTGGATGTATACAGCTTTGGGATCGTTCTTTTGGAAATCTTATGTGGGAGGAAGAATTTTGATAGATCTCAGCCAGTAGAATGTTGGCACTTACTGGATGTCTTTCAGAGATGTTGGGAACAAGGAGCATTGTTAGATATAGTTGATAGTTGCGGTGATGATATGCAAGTACATGGTAATGAAGTCATGGAGATGATGAAAGTTGTTTCGTGGTGTTTGCAAACTGATTTTACGAAAAGGCCTTCAATGTCAACAATGATTAAGGTGTTGGAGGGAGTAATGAATGTTGAGTCGGACTTGGATTACAACTTCTCACACCCAAGGCTGCAGAAAGGAACAGACGAATATGAGAAGTACTCAATGCCATTGTTGCCATCTATTCTATCAGGGCCGAGGTGATCTTGCAGTGAGGTTATTTTGGATCATTTCTATGTATCCCTGTAATGTTTATGCCTTTTATTTCTTCAAGACACTTATATATATATATATAGATATATATATATATATATATAATATATATATATATATATATATATATATATATATATATATATATATCGTTGTAGTGTTGTCTACGGTTATTAGAGCATCCACAATGGGGGTTTAATAAGAGTTGAATAGATGATGACTAGGATTGAATAGAAGTTTAATTGAGTGTGAGTGCTGACATGGAGGAGAGTTGAATGGAACAGTTGCATGATCATTGAGTAATTCAATGGATTTAATCTTTTCTTTTTCAATTAAATTTCATACCAAATATAGAAATCCATTAAACTTTGAAGGGTTTAATGGAGTGTGGATGTTAAAGAGTATAGTTGAATAAAAAGTTAAATGTTGATGTGGCATTGACGTGACAATCCATTAAACTCCTTAGAGTTCAATGAATTGTGGATGCCCTTAGTCAAAGAGTAAGTAGGTGTAATCACTAGATGATATTAACTTCTTATGATCATGCTAGAGGGTTTGGGTCATTTAACTAGTATAAACTATAATTTGATCAATTTGTATATAAAGAAAAAGAAAAGGAGGCCCTTGTTTAGACATTATATCAAGGCCAACATGAAGCACTAAGGTCTCGTATATCGAACTCCATTAATGAACTTACTGGACTTGGAGATACTCACCTACAATAGCACATCGTCAGATACAGTTTATCATTTTCCTAAACCATCGACCGCCATAACTGCCACTACCAATACACACCCTTAATCTAGATATACCTATCTCGAAACTTCTTCTTCAAGCCATAAAAGTCTCCCAATTGTAAGGTTGGAGGGAGTGGTGCCACTCTTACCATACGTCATTCACTACCACATAAGTGTCATGTCATTTTATATCACAAAAGTGTGGTTCTTTGCCACACACTAGGAGTGGTACCACATTTTCTTTTAACAATTTAATTTAAATAAAACATTTAATTTTAATAAAAAACATAACATTTCATTACTTCAAAATTAAAAAACATTACGTTGCATTACTTTTTAAAAAAATCCTAAAAACTTAGAAAAAAAACTAGAAATCATAAACTTAAAAAAAAAACTCAATTGGTTAAAAGTAGCTAGAAAATTTAAAACTACTTAGCATAACGTTTTTTGAGATCGACTTTCATCACCAAAGCAATTTCAAACTCCTCACCATGGATGTTCCACTACAAGAAACGCAAGGATTAGCGGCGACAGACGTCGCCGCTAAAAGGTAGTCGTTGTTGCCTCGCTGCAAAAGCTCCATATGTTGCCGCTGATATTCACTGTCGCCACAAATGCTCATCGTCGCCGCAAAAGATAAGTCGCCACTAATACATACTTGTCGCTACTAAAAGCATCGCCGCTAATTGTATTTTTCTTTTTTTGTAGTTAACATTAAAATTACAAAAAACAATATAACATGTATAAAAACTGCTACGAAACTTTATTTTGCAGAAATTAATAGAACCTATGGTAGAATGAAATCAGAATAGAATAGAACCTGTGGTGGAACGAAATCAAAATAGTGGTGATTTTGTGGGCGTGTTGTGGTGGTTTTGTTGTGGCAAAAAAATATGGCAGATATGGTGGTGGTAATGACAACCTGAAAGTTCAACAAAGTTTAATAACAAAACTAAACACACAAATCAGTAGATAATCACTTAGATAGTCATTAGAGAGAAAAGAAATAGAAAACAATGCGGAGAAAATGTTGTTTTCCGGCAGCTACAGGCCGTCGCCGGTGTTGCTGCTTCTATCGTCGGTGATGGCATCCTTGTCGTCGTCGATGATAGAAGCTACGGAAGCTTGGATCAATTTTGGTATCATCATCGTCGATGATGACAGGTGGAAGCAGAACATAATACACAAAGCGATGGAGGAAAGGGGTATATCTGCACAGACCTTTAGCGGCAACGAGAGGCTTTAGCGGTGACACTAGGGTTTTAGTTGCAACACCATGTGAAGGGAAATTATACCGCTTTTTTTTTGGAGCGTTAGCGGCAACAATGTCACTGCCATTTGTAACAGCCCAAAAACAGTGATAAAATTTTTCATTGAAGACCATCAATTTCATTCATTAATTTTTTCCATAAACCATCACTAAATATAATATCCAAAATATCAGAGTATAATTATTCAAAATGCGGAAATCATGAGGAGAGGATGTTGTGTCATCACGATGGGCCCTTCCCTTTCGAACTGGAGTTACCTGAAACCAAACCACAAACTATAAGCCCAAAGCTTAGTGAGTTCCCCAAAGTACCACATACCAAAATATACAGTTGGGCTTAACCTTGGGGTTCAATCCAACCCGATATACACATATGGGGCCCTGCCCTAGGGTGTATTTCAACCCCGATCAACACATATGGGCCCCGCCCTGGGGCCTCACCCTGGGGTATCTTTCAACCAATCATACAATAGTTGGCCCCGCCTTGGGGTTCATTTCAACCCAAAAAATATGATAGTAGGACCCGCCCTGGGGTTTATTTCAACCCATCATACAAATCATATAAGTCACATAACAACTATCATCCTAAGTAACACAATAATGAGACGACATTGGTACCTACGACCCATGGATACAGTGAGAAGACTCACCTCTCAGACAGACGAGAAAACGAAACATAACGCTGCTCCGAAATCAACTATACTAGTCACCTTTATATATACCATGACCAAAGCTCAGCATAGAAATCAAAATACCAAAAATACCCATAGGTCAAACTTTGGTCAAAATCTACGTCAAAGTCAATCGGGTCAACTCGGTGAGTAAGATGGGCGTACTCCACACATACACGGGGGCATACTACTCGCTTGACCAACATCGAGGGGCTGACCATGTATGCACAACGTACCCTTTCGTACGCCCAACATACGCGGCCGCCACCTACTCAACCAATTAAGATCTTAATCCTTAAGCTCTTTCGTCTAAAATCCATATCTAGCCCCTAAAAGGTGTTCTTAACCATAAAGTTTCCAACTTTATGTTTTTGCATGCCTAATAAATTTCTTAACATCAAAAACCCTATCTTCTTGACCCATTAACACAACCTAGATCATGTATAGGAAGAAACAAATGTCCAAGATCACATTTTATGACTTATCACACCCTAAAACATCTTAAAGGATCAAGATTTGGGACAAAAAGATGCCAACTTTAAGCTATAATTAGATCATAATGAAATATTCATCAAGGTTGGAGCTTTATACCTCCAGAAGTTTCATAAGATAGAGTAGTTGTTGGATCCAAAGTCTTGAGTGAAGCACCAAAACTCCAAGGTTCTTCCTTCACCACCAAGAGCACCAAAATTACACTCTAAGCTTTAAACTACACTCACACACTTTAGGGTTTCGAGATAGGGATAGAGGTTGGAGTTAAGCAAGGGTATGGGACTATAATGATGCTTAAAATAGGGTCCAAACCCTAAAATTTAGGGTTTTCACCCTAGCCACGTATGGTGAGTTCATAAGCATGTTTGTGAAAATGATTTGTATAACTTTGAGACCACCAGAAAATCCTATATTTTCTGAAAACTGTTTAGTAAGTTTGTGTCAGATCTTGTATTAATGCATGTATGTTATTGTTTATTTGAATAAAAGGGTAAAGAGAATGTAGTGAGAATGTAAAGAGAATGTCCCCAGACAACCCGATGTTGTCTGTAAAAGAGAATGCTGCCATACCAACCCCCGGGGTTGAGTACCAGTGAGAGTATGTTTCCGAGTAATCCAAGAGAAAAGAGAATGGTCTTCCATAAAATTCATAATGTTAATTCCTCTAAGTGAGCCTGTAACGCCCAGATTCTCAGGTATTGATTTAATGTGTGAGTTCTTGATTTCAAGGGCTACTCGACGAGTTGATTTCCCTACTCGTCGAGTAGCAGCGGGTTGGTCCACGTATTTTAATGACCTACTCGCCGAGTCCAAGAAGGGACTCGACGAGTAGGAGCTGGCAGATGAAACCCTAAATCTCGGGGTTTTGCACCCTATTTAAAGGATCATTGGCCTCCCCCAGCCTCTCCTTTACTGCTTCTTGTCCCTCTCAAACCCTAATCGAGTGTGTGTGTTCCATTTGTGTATTTTTGAGCTTGGAAGAGGATTTTGTGGAGAAGGGAGCTTGGAGAGCAAGTATTCAGAAGCAAGGAGCTTGTGGGATCTGAAATCTACCTTATTGGGCTCTTCTGTAAGGTATAAATCGTTACCCTGACCTCATTTCATTCTAGATCCCCTCTTTGGACAAATTCTAGGGTTTTCATGGTATGATTGGAAGCTATTCTTGTGTGCAAGCTAAGATCTGAAGTTGTAACTTCAGAACTGAGCTCCCTTGGGCTTCTTAGTCCATAAAGTTTCCAGCTTGTGCAAGAATGAGACTCTCCCAAGGTGTAAAGCTCCATTGGAAGCTTAGATTGGTCATTTAGGGCCTTTACAGCCTTGCATGTGCGTAAAGTTTGCAACTTTACGTGATAAACATGCCTTAGAAGCTTGGATCTGTAATCGGGAACCTTGTCATGGCTTAAAAAGCGTCTGCATGGATGAAGGTCTGCAAGGACTCGGCGAGTTGGATGAACAACTCGGCGAGCCCGTTGAAGATGGCCATGAACTCGACGAGTTGGACGAACAACTCAGCGAGTCCGTTGAAGATTGCCTTGAACTCGGCGAGTCGTTCAAAGACTCGGTGAGTCGGCTAGGGTTTCTCCTAATTCTTGGACACGTATGAACTCGGCGAGTTAAAGGGGAACTCGACGAGCCAATCAAGGATTTCACGACTTCTTGAGTTCAAGAAGGACTCGACGAGTCGGTGAACTGCACTCGACGAGTCGAGTCAACATGGACTGTTGACTCTGACTGTGGACTTTGACTTGGACCAAGGGTTAACCAGTTGACTTCTGAGGGTATTCTGGTAATTTGGAGATTTATGGAAAAGGGTTTTATGGT